GCTGGAAGAGAGACAAAAATAATCCTAAACAAACAGGAAAAAAAAGTTTTCTTTCAATTGATAGTCACTTTATTTGCATTTGAAAGGCAAACAAATTATTATAAGTAAAATTCAAGTGCCCAATATTTTTATCTATTTTGTTTTACAATGATTTTCAAATGTTAGAAATTAAAAAGCAACTGCAAACAAGTGGGGAAAAAGATGGAGGAAGGGAGGAAGAGAAATCTTGTTTTGAGGGAAAGAAAAGAGAGGATCTCTTCCAGCATATAATAATGTAGTGAACATCTTGTTGTTAAAATGATAAATTCTGAGTAATTTATACAAAACACACTAAAAATACAGATTTGAGTCAGCTTGATCAAAATAAACCTCAGACATAGCATTTGCTTTTTCCTTTTATGGGCAGATTCTAGACCTTTGGAACACATGCTTTATTACAGCCAAATTCTTTGAAGCATGAACAAAGTGATGAGCTTATTTAAAAGAGAGCCTCAGTCCAATGAACTACCTGACTTGTGTCAGGAAGGACAAGCCACCAGCTACAGAACTATATCACCAGTTCAGTCAGTCCTCCTAAACTATCTGTGTTGTGAACTTCTGGCTTTCTCCAGTCATTTTCAGTGACACTGCATCGCTGTGGCACAAGGAAAGCTAAGGCAGATGGGGGGAGAAGAAAATAGTGAAATTTAGAGGAGGTGCTGACTTCATATTCAATTGGACACAGATAAGGCTATTACTAAACAAGGAATGCCTAACATCCTAAGTTCCTGTTAACTACTTGAAGCCTGCAGAAGTAGCAGTCATATAATAAAGTACTGGCTTTGAAAAGAAAGAGGGCCCAGGGCTGAGGTCTGGAACAAATTCCTAGCCTGACAAGGACTTTGTAGGAACCTGGACAAGCAGCTGCACTGCCTGCATGTCAGATTCCCACCCACAGGACGCTTTTTTTTTTCCTGCCAGATTTTCTCTCTTCTACCTCAACTGTAAGTGCTTGGGGTCAGGTCCAAGCTTCCCTAACAGCAACGAGCACAATGAGACCTTGATCTTGGTGGGGATTGCTAGGGAATACAAGCAGTAAAAAAAATAATGATGTCAGCATTTCAGTGCAGGATGTGGAGCTGCTTCAGAGAACTGCAGCTACAAGGCAGCATAGAAAGTTGTACTGAAAACTGAGAATAGCACAATGCGAAATGGAATTAGAAATTATTAGGCTAGAGAAATACTAAATTTATTTTCACTTTCTGAGGCTCAAATCTGAAATTTGGTGGCCCGTAAAAGGGGTTGCCAGGCAAATCTATGCTGAGGACCAATGCGCAAGCAAGCCAAATCCTTCTGGGAAGCATCTGCACTACAGAGCGAGTGCTGTATACTCTGTCTGCATACGCCTACTAGCTCTAACACATTCTGGATGTGCCAGACTTGTTGCACATGCACTGTACAATTCCTTCTCTGTGCAAGCAGGAAATCCAACCTATTCTGAGCATGATGGACACGCTTATGCAGCACACCTACGTAAGATCTGATGTTTCCTGTCAGAGCCAGAGTCACTGAGCCTGTACTGCACAGCCAACCCATAATTGTGCAGTGAACACATCTGACATTTCTGCACGTCTGTAAATCCTGTCAAAATTTCTGGAAGAAGGCTGCATCCTTTTTACCAGGCCTATCCCAGGAATTTTGTGCGATATTGTTGTATCTATCCAATACCAATCAAAAAACTCTCAGCAAAACTCCGAGAGATGGAGAGAGATGGCCTACTCCTGTAAACTGGAAATGCACTTCCTACTGAAAAATACTTCTCAGCTGAGATCTTGGAACAGTATTCTGTTTTCTGGAGAGCTGCCAAGCATACATTGCATGCAAAACCAACATCCAAAACCATGCGAGGTCCACAGCTGCTAAGATGCTGAAATGCACTCAATCATTAATCCTTTCACACCCAGCTCAAAAATCAACTACTCTGACCTCTCCCACTAACGTTCAAAAGGGACAGCTCAGTCTCTGAAAAAAAATGTCAGACAAAAAATCATAGTATCAGTTAGTATGACTGATCCTGAAATACCTAGGCAGTCAGCATTTAAGAAAACTGAAGTTTAAGCAAAAAACTTGACTTGAAGATTGCAATTATCGGATTGAGGATCTGAACAAGAATTACTTAGCTATGATAGCTAATCTTCAAAAGATAAAACTAGGTGCGTGTTTAAGTTAATTCTAAAAAGGTTAACTGTTAGAAAAGCAATTTGTATTTTGTTCAATTGGTAAATACAGGATTTGTTCATAGGTATCAAGGGACAAAGAATGTTACATTTCTATCAATGGTCCTGTAGTCTGTTCTACTGTGATATCCCAGTAGTTTTAACATATAACTCATTCTCAACAAGAACAGATTTGAAACTATGCCTATTTTATAGTACGCTTCAGTGAAGCTTGGTTTTATAAATGAGACCAAGTATGCAGGATTGCAGCTAGTGAAGTCATAGAAGAAGATGATCTATGGTGTGAATGTGCCACAAGGTTTTCTTTGCCAATATCTGCATTAAAATCTTGGACTTGAATTACATTACAGAATTGCTAAATCTTGGGACAGAGCTATAAAACTTGTCTTTACTGTCTAATTGAGCATCATTGCTAGGTGAACAGTCAACAACTGAGCAAAAGGACTCAATTACCTTCAAGTCAGGTAATGTTTCCTCCCACTGATTTTAATCAATTTCATAAACAGTTCTTACCCATACATGAGAACTAGAATCCTTATATAATTTTCCTCTACAAAAGATAAAGTCTCTTCTATTTTATGATCAACTCAAGAAGGGTTCAAGAGTCAGTCTGTAGATAGCCTTATGTGGGCAAACATATATAGCCAGGCTCTTACTTCATTTAGAAAGTTGAAGTGAATTGCTTGTTTTCACAGCATGTGTGGCATTGCTTTGAGGATAATGTAGTGAAAAATTCTTAGCTCCTCTTCTGTGTTTTTATTTTTTAATTTTAATCTCCCAAACATATAAGCTGTATTACCTGATAAAAAAAATAGTGTGATATTTCTATTCTTGTGCATTATAGAAGAAGAATCAAATAAGTGAGTTAAAAATATCATCTTCGTTCATCCACTTCTCAACACACCTGCTGTTCTCCATTTCAGTTGCAAACTCTTCCAGGTCAAAATTGAAATCATTACTAGAGAAACCAGAATGATGAAGACATTGAGCTGCCAGTTTCTAATGCAGCCTTACCAAGTTACTGTCAATCAGTGACTGTAATTTAAAAAAAAAGCATACAACGCTAAAGAAATATTAAGAACAATTATCTTGTGTCCAATTGGAATGTTAGACCTCTGGACAGAAGGGTTCATTCCTTGCAGCCTGCCAACATTTCAGTAAATGACACTGGCCCTTTAACAGATGGGATACATGCTTCTTAGCTTGCCAGGATCCTAATAAAAGACACTGGCTTCTTTAAAATGAAGGACACATACCTCTCAAATTGCCAGTATCCAAATTGGGAGTCAGCAGTTTAAAATAAAGGCACTCATCAATCTGGCAAAATCAAGGACGCGGCACAGAAATTTTAAAACAAATGGTACAAAGTTTCTCCTGACATTACTTAATTTAGATGAACTAAATACTTAAACACTGGCTAAGCATATCCAGTAGCAGCACTGTAGCAACTGGATACATTACTAGCTTTTAAGACAGTAAATATTAGCAGCAGACTTCAAGGGTTGGGATTTGGATTTATTTCTTTTCCCCATCAAACCCATTAGCTACCACTTATATGGCTGACCACACTGCATGACTGGAATGAAAGCAGGGTGTCTCTTCCCTGGGCACTGACCAGCATCACAAAGGCTGGCCCATGTAGAAAGACCCTGCCTGCCCAAAAGGAACATTCTTCCACTCCATCTCCCAGGAGTAGGATGCTCCAGTGAAGGAAAGAGACGTCTGGAAGCTTTTTCCATGCCCTGACAACCCATATTACTACAACTTGGAAAGTTTTACAGCAACTTCAGACACCTCTTGAAAGACATCAAGTATGGGCTCTAACTTTTCTGATAACAGCCATCAGAGGGAAACAAAGACCTTCTTATCATGACGTACACCTGGAGGAGTTGGGGAAGAGGAGAGAAGAGCTTGCTGAGCCTTGTCAGTACTTACAAACTGTCCCCCAGTTCCTGAAGGGCAGACATGGGGGAAAGCAGAAAACTATGAATTCTCTTTGTCTGGAAAGATAATAAAGTTTCTAAGATTGAGCATGAAAAAGGAGTATTTTGAACACGACAGAGAACTGGGCATATTCAAATCAGTGGTTCTTTTCAGTCTCAGAGCCCTACCTCAAAATTACAGCAACTCACAGCTGGCACACACCCAGCTTCTTGCCTTGCCCATCTCACCCACCCCACTGCTTGCAGACCCCTGCCTCTTCAGACTGATTTTAACCTTTTGAACCTGCTTTCTTCCTGGTGTCTCTTGGCTTACTCGTCATTTGGTGTCTAAGTATTTCTCTAACATGTGTCTAACCAGTAAACGCTGTGCGTGAAAGAACATACCTAAGTACAAAACCTAACATTTGAAGGCACACCCAGCTGAAGCCAGAGGTCTGAAGTGCTGAAAAAACACAGCAGAGACTGTCAGGAAAGAAGGGAGGAGGTTCTTGCTTTAGAACAGTAGAGGAAAAAAGTAACTAAGTCAGCTGGTCATGGTAATGGGAAGAGCTGAAACAGGTTTTGAAGGAACTGATCTCCACCAGCTTACCAGAAGTTGGAATCTCAATAGCGGCTACCACAGTGAAATGCACAGAAACTGCAGGAGAGACACAAGCTCCTGTCATACAGCAGCCCTGACTCAACCAGGAGACTAGTCTAAAGCTCTGCGTTGCCTGGACCTGATTGCCAGTGGGCATGGTCTGGGATATCTCCAGCCAGGCTGTTTATCTGTCCCTTCAAGCAATCCCTTGCTTTGAAGTTTTTCATCTGATGAACAAAGATGCTGCCACCATTTACTCACCTTTCACGTTCATCTTTCATTTTCTCCAGCTCCTCCTCTTTAAGTATGCCTTGCTTTGGATTCCCCTTCTGATCCGTTTTTCCACTTTTATCTTCTTTTTTCTTTCCAAATCTGTTTAAGATATCAAGGAAGGAGTCAGGAGGAAATAATTACTAGAAGAAAAAACAGTACTTATCTATCATAAAACACAGAAATTTTAGGCAATCAAAACACTGTGAGCTTTTATCATAGTCACTCATATATTTCTCACATTGCAAAATAAGTTACCAGTTTCAAATGGGCCATGTGCAATAGGAAGGACTGATTACAAATTGATTTGGACCCTGTAATTTTGAAAGCTATTGCTTGAAACAGAAAGTCGAAAAGCCCCAACAAACCTGAAATGCAAGACAATGAAGGGCTGGACTACTAATAGCACACGTTTTAAAGTGGCTGAAGGTTCTTCTTACCACACGTCAGCTCTCAAAGTAATATGCAGTGGCTGTGGTGCCAGCACCCAGACTGGACCACATCTTCTGCTCTTATCAGTAACTACTGTCATTCATGTCTGGCCTTAATTTAAAGATATTTTCTTTGTTTAAATGAGGATGCAATCGGAAAGAATAAAATCTTGCTATAATCTGAGAGTGCAAAACTAGAGAGTTCATAACAGCTCTTTTTTAAAATACTTCTGGGTTTGTTTTTTTTTGCCTAGTAACATACTATCATGTAATATTTATTCTGTGAGAGTCCTCCAGAGACCCCAATAAGTTTGGGGGTCCCACTGTTCTATACACTGTACAAAGATGCATAACGTAAGTCTGCTTTACACAGCCTATAAAAGGTGACTGAACTGGGGAGCTATATTTCATTTCTGATGGAGCTAGACAGAATACTGGGGTCAAGTATGTCAAATGTGCTCATGAATTATGGGCCAAAAAGTATAAAAACTTCCCCTTCTCTTCTCCAATTTGAAATTCTCAGTTCCAGAAGTAAATGATCAATCTGTGTCTTCCTATACAAATTAATGTGTTCTTGCATGCATGACAACAATGTAAAGAAAAGTAATGACTTCTTCATTAAATACACCATATTGCAAACTAATTACTCTGACTCAAAATTGCAACCTCTTCCATGAAAGTCTGCAGCATTGCCTCGGTGATCTTTCTTTTACCTTTTTTATTTTTCATGTCAGTCCAAACTGCCTCAAGTAGAATAGCTGCACTACTGTTCATATACTTAAGCTGTAAATCATTGACTTTAGGTTTCTCCTCTGACCAAAGCAGAAATCTTGCAAATACTCTGTCATGCTTGTAAGTTAATGATCCAATTTTTTTGTGAATTTAATCAATAATTCTGAGCTTATGGTCAAATGAAGTTCTTAAGGTCTCTACAGCAAGTCTTCCAGGCAATAAGAACTTGGTTAGAAAGGGAATGATGGGCGTGAGAGACAGACGCATAGTGTGTGGTGCTAATGAGAAGAAGGGCAAATACTACACGTAATAACATGAGATGCTTTACCACGGCCCTGGCATGAACTGTGCTGGGGAGTAGGAAGAGTCATATCTCACTGCATGGTTTTCTCTTCCTCCTTATGTGCGGCAATAGAGATGGATGGTGTCTTACATTCTTTGAGGGATCCTTTGATCAAAATACACATACACCTCATCTAGAAACAATCCTCGATTCTTTTTTTATGGTCCCCACTCATTTCAGTGCTTCCAGAAAGATAGCAGATACTTTCCATGCTTTTGTTTTTCCTAAGTAGAAAGCAGCACATTGATTCCACTGCTGCTTTCTAAGGTCTAGCAGTCCCAAGAGACTGTGAAGGCACAAACCCCATCAGAGGGTGGTGGTGGCAGTGAAGGCAGCAGTCCGGAAACACAAGAGAGAGACAGAGGTTGTACATTCAGAGTGAGAAGATACAAAGTGAAAAGGGCTCACAGACACGGGATGACCCAGGTGAAGAAGAAAAGCTAGATGAAACTCTGCATATATTGCTCTCTACAGAGATGTCAGGCAGCCAAACAATAAATCACCTGGGGATGAGCACCAGCAGGCTGCACCTGAAAAACCTCTGCTTTCTAACATTTGCACATGCTGGGAAGGTCTCATGGCAGTTTTCTCAAGAGAGGCTGTATTAGCACTTGCATCTTGGTCATAATCCAACTCTGGTACTTTGTTTATATTCAGTCTGCCTGTTTTTCTCCCATAGTTTCAATTATGGGTTTGTGGAGCCTCATATTCCACTGTAGTACATATTGATTTTGAAAACATTATTCCTGGGCATTTTGTATTGCTGCAGGGAGTTGGATATGTTGCTTACTCGAGAGAAATGTAAAAAAAAAAATATCTTTAGCATACATCCCTTTCAAGTCTAGGTATTATTTCTTGCTTACCGGGGAAATACATTTTAAACAAAATAAAGTGACAATTTTGATTGTAATAACTGCCAACATGACAACTCTCAGCAAAAATAGTGCTGTTTGCTGGTAGAGCTGCTCTTGCCACAAAATTGGCAAGTTCCAGCGTAATTATAAACTGGGAATAGTGAGTTGGTCTTGATGAAAACAACTTTTGGTTTTTTGCTATTTTTGGCTTCAGATGGGATTTGTGCAGGCTTACAATTTTTACCTATTACACTAAGTACACAGCATATAGCTCAAGGCTAGGGATACGTTCAGAGTTTTGGCTTCTTTTGTACATTGCTATACAATAATAATAAAAGAGAATGGATTTTTATGGTAATATGTTTTTCAGCTTAACAAAAATCTTGCACAAACATTAAAAAAAAAGGCAGCAAAAATTTAACACTGTTGAGAAAAGCAATATAGAGTAGACAACATTAAACTACAAAAAATACATTGTCCTAAAATTTATGGTCTGCTCACTCATGTGTTCTAATTGCCATGAGCTTCTGATGATAAAATTAACTTCCACCCATTGTAATTTTGCATGGATTTTTGCACTACAGGCTTAATGGTTCCCTACTGCTTACAGGACCAACAAGAAGAGCAAAAAAGAAGTAAGAGTACTCCTTGCCCAACTGGGTTTGATCCTGTTCTCTTTGGTATCAGTGTGAGGCTCTCCACTGAATTCAACAAGGACAGGATAAAATCTATTGTCAAAATTATATTATGGAATTAATCAAATCCATATTAAAATTCTAGGAAAACTGAATGGCTTTAGGATTTGAGGTTTCTCATTCTCCAGGCAACAAATAATTGGATTGTGGTAAAATCTGCCTTCCATATTAATACTACTGACAAAAGAATAAAACATTAATGGAAAAAATGTATGGCACATTTTTAAAGGATCCGTTTTGCTATACTGTGCACAGCAAAATTCTCTTCAACTTAATATCTGACAGAATTGATACTCTGAAAACTTTATGTTGCAAGCAGAGAAATATAACTAGATGACCTGAAAACAAATGGATCAGCCGTATCCTCTCATTCTATATACATCTATAATCAGTTTATGTCAAATGAAGCCACTTGTAATCGTAACAACAGTAAGGAAATAAATCCACATCTTCCCAGGTTGTTTGAGTGACTGCCCCAGCTCTCTGATCATCCACTGTAAATGCCTGGGAAGTACTGTTAAAGAAGTTAAAGCCCTAATAACCTTAGTATTCTTTTCAGTTGAGAAAATTAATATTCCAACTACTCAGAGCATAGTCCTCCTGTAAACAAAAGTATAAAGGGATTTTCTTTATTTGACCAGACCTCAGAGTGATTCATCCTTATGGGAAAAGCCCATATGCAACAGTTGAAAACATGCTGTGCAAGAGTGAGGAACTGTCTTATTTCTATAAATTTCAAAGGAAAATATGGGTGCCCTGCAAATAACTAACATTTTCCCCTTAGAGGCATTAAATGAATGAAGCCTCTGAATACTAAATGTGTGTCATCTTTTTGCAGTATATATTACCATTCAATTGGCTACAGCATTAAAGCATACGTATGCTTCTTTTCAAGGCTTTCAAGGGACAAAAATTAGAACAAACCTTCTATAGACCTGCTCTGTTACACTCGGAATAAACGCCTTACAGGCAAGACCTAAAGCTGTGGTCATGGCAACACTTCGTTTCCATGCGGAGCCGTGAGCTTCCAGATCTCAAATGTGTTGATATTTGCTTCAAGGATTAAAAAGCAGGCAGGTCTATAAAGTCCTGGACTTCTAAGCAAGAGAAACATCTGGTGGGTGGCACCCTAAGCAGCTTGCTGACGAAATTCAGCAGTTCGGATTTCCTAGTTAATTCAGTTGCCCTAGATCAGTAGGTGTCACTGCAGCTAACATGGTACATAACGGAACTGCAAATGTCTGCAGGGAAATAATTCAAGAGGGCATATGACACAGTCAAGCAAGATACAAAGCCTAACAATGTCACAAAATCTTGACATCTCCAGAAATGATCTGTAAAAAACCAGAGTGATTTGTAAAGTACATATAACAAAAGCTCTGGCTCCTAGTCATTTCACAGCAAATGGGGAAAATGCCAAGATTATTAAGGCAGCTCCCTTATGAAAGACTAGAAATAACCCTTAAAATTAAATTTAAATGTAAGTAAGAATGAATGAGTGAGCAAGAAAGATAAAGATACTAATAAGGTATGATTTTCAGGTCCACACAGGGACTATAAAATGCTTATTAACTGCTACTACTGCCGTGTGTTTTAAGTTATTTTATCACTCAACTTTACAGCAGAAGAAATACTCTAGAAGCAGTGCTGTGCTTTGATTAATCACTTTCATACATACACTTTTACAGAGTATTAAGCATTGCCATAAAGATCCTTAGTGAGTCAGACTTGTTGGTGATTACAGGCCAGGCTCATTTTACATTTATGTTAATAGCAGCATTAATGAAATACATCTTTTACCTTTTTAGTGGCTCTCTAAATACCTAAAAGGTTTATTATTAAATGTTTACTTATTGAGCAGAAGCATGCCATTGAGTATTACACCAGTGGGACCAACAGCTGAAAAAAACAAGCAGAGAACATATTTTGGTAAAACGTGTTTCGATATTTTGAGAATCATAGAATGGTTTAGGTTGGAAAGGACCTTGAAGATCATAGAGTTCCAACCCCCCTGCCATGGGCAGGGACACCTCCCACTAGACCAGGT